CCCCCCTGAAATTCAAGTTGTTTAAAAAAATTGTTTCATTTATTATTAATATATATATAGCACCAAATTGCAACTAATCTATATCTACTGTCACTTTTCATATTGAACATGTTTTTATTAAATAAAAACTTTCATTTTAAATTGTGAGTTTAGTGTTTTGGACCCTAAGAAACAACGATGCATTAATCAATAACAATAATCCACAGCTCCTCTCTCTGCTCCAGAGGATTTACAGAAATATATCCACCCCCCCCCCCAAAGCAGTAAACCTAGGGGAAACACTGATTAGGTTCCTATTATTTCATTGGAGTAATTATTGAGCTCACTTGCTGAATGCATATACCCCCTCTACAAAGACATACATACTACAAATAAGTGTACTAATCTTTGACCAGACCTGATATAATCATCTATAAATGTTTTATCAGATTTTGAGAGTCCAGTCATAATTAATTTTCAATAGAACAGATTTACAATTTCTTTAAAAAAATAAAAAATAAATCTGTAACACACCAGTGGAACATATCTAATAGGTGTTTGAGATCTGGTGACTCAAGGACATAAATGATCCACACCACATCATATTAATCCAATCATTTATTCAGCAAGAAAACAAAAATATATCTTCATCCTCGAATGAATGCCAACAAATTACAGTATATATAAAAAAAGAAAAGATCCACAACAACAGCTGATGTCCACAAATGAAACGCAAAACAAATCCCAGTTTTATGTTTATAAGATGTGATTCTGAATTTGTTTTCTTTACAGTCCCATCCAGGCCTGCATCCCTCGGTCTGATTTCCACCCGTCCATCTGTTCACCACCTGCTCACAAGACAGGTCTGGGCTGCTGGGTCAGGAGGAGGTTGAAGCGTTTTTTCACCGTCACCCTGTGTCGGGAGAACTTATCGTCTGGGGAGAAACGAGCGGGGTGGGCCGAGCTGGTGGGATCCCCTCCAACAGTACTCTTCTGTTGGTGGAGAAGGAGGAAAGACAAGGCAAAACACTTTGAGTTCAGTGTGGGGAAATGCAAAATAAAAGCCTTGCACAAAGCTACAGTGTAGAAATGGCAATTAAATTCTTCTGACCTGAGCTCCTCCAACAATGCAACATATATAATAAAATACAAATTATTAAATAGTGCAAAAAGTCTATATACATGTCACTAGAATATGGGATATGTAAAAGAACAGAATATGAAATAAATAAATGTAAAAAAACTGCATTACGTTTGTTTGAGAAACAAAAAAGTATGTGTGGTTTTTTTCTGTGTCTGTCCTGCTAAATGTTCTTTTGTGATGGTTTGACACAGAAACACATCCAAACCCCCTAAACTAATAAAGTTAAGGGTCATTTGAATAATCAAAACATTGCTAGGTCCTAAGAGACGTATATCACGATCGAGAGACCGTATTAGTTGCATGCTTTTTTGCGAAAAGATATTTGAATTCTGGTTTCTGCTTATGGGTATTCCAATATTATAACTAGGGAGAGAAACACCACATTTAATACTCCTGGATTGATAAGATGTTTCAAGCAGTCCATACATATCCTACGGTTTGGTGTTATCTCAACTAACGTTAAATCAACCATGTGAAATATGTTAAAAGGTGTAAGTTACCTGTAAAGAGACTCAAATTACCCTTTTTCTTTCTGTGTTTGATATTAAACAAGCATTCTTTAGCAACCTGAAGTGTATTTTTCATAATTAAAATATATAGATATTTTTGCTTTGTATAGCATGCAGCTAGCAAATTTCAAAGTAACGTTATCACGGTTAATTTGGACCATAAGGAGTACGTTATATTTCAAATAAACCACAATAAACATACATATGCACAGGGTAATCTAAATGAGGAGGTAGAATATATCTAAACAGAATAAAGTTGGAAAGGAAGGATGTAAACACCGCGTTTAAGTTACATTCAGAGTGTAGACTCTGTCCCCTTCCTCGTTGAGGTAAAACTGCAGAAACATCTCGACGTTATTGTTTTAAAGCTTCAAAAATATATCAAAGCGATGGTTTCGTATCAAAAGTTGCAGCTAACACGCTCTTTCTGCTCCGATATCCACGTGTGGCGAAGTTTCTCCTCGCTCGTTCTAGAGGGCGGATATCCGGTTTAGAATTGACGGTACTTGGCATTCTGGGAAATGGTGTTTAATAATATAAAATCAACTTATACGAAAGGGAAAAGTTATATCTGGGAAACATGTCAAATGTTTAAAGTATGGCGCTGCTTTTACACAACAATAAATATTAATTAATTATCATATGTTTTAGTTTTTAGAGGTTTGGAATGTTTCTTTTCACAGAACTAGTTGGAAGAAAACAAAACCTAGTTTACTTTTAAAACATACTGCAGATACAAGACTTATCATCTCGCACATGCAAGGTAGGTGACACCTTTGAATGACCTAAACATGTGTATTATTCATCAAAAGATTGTTAAAACAGTAGCAAAAGGGCATTTTATACTTTTATTTTTTATTTAACTGCATATCTTAAATAAGTTTCAATCAGATATTCAGTTTAAAATTGTATACAATAGAAAAGCAGGATGTTTCCATATTGGAGAGACTGAAAACAGCAATTCCTGTATCTGAAAATTACTTTAAAATGTATCAAAGTATTGGCAATTATTTCTCAGGTTATCCCCTTATTAATGAATATTAAACAAAAATGTTTCTCTTATGGGACGTACCACTTTTATTAATTGAATTAACTTTAGAGCTTCATTAGGAATAAATGATGATACAAAATATAGTAAGTCTCTTCAATAAAACTAGTTTACAGTAAGTCATATTTTATCAAAGATAATGAATTATTAGTTTATATTGAAAACACACTGAAAGCCATTCTCTATTATTACCTGGATTGGAGAATTTGTCTTATTGCCACCGACAGATCTGCATTATTTCACTTTTCCCCTCACAGTTACAACCCACAGATAAAGATGGATTCAGCGTTGTTTTCTCCGATTGAGAACAACCTTATTGACCTTCTTCAAGTCATGAGCCAGGACGGACTGTTTCATCCACCAGAGCCTTGTGTGGTGCCACAGAATCATCCCACAGTTGCAGAAATCCTCCGTGAAATAGAAAACTCTGACACGCATACACACATGGACTCAAACCAGCACCGTGTGCAGCATCTGACCTCCAGTTTCATCCCAATGCAACCCCAGAGAGCTCAGGACGACCCCTCGTACATGAGCATCCTTCCCCAGCCTGGATTCCCCCCAGAGCTCATCATCACGCCCTGCTCTCCTCCAGACGTCTGCTGGCCAAACTCCACATTTGGTTGTGGTCCCAGGGTGCTGGTTCCCATCATCAGCCCACCGGAGTTATGTGGCCCCGGGATGCCTCGCCGCTCCTGGCTCCTCCTGCCCGAAGGTCACCCCGTGTGGTGCCTGTGTCCCCAGGAGGTGCCTCTAAACCAGCCCTGCAGAGCAGACATGAGGTGAGGGACAAACAGCAGATACGTATATATATTTCTTTTTTTAAACGCCAGCTAAAGACACATCCTTTTAGATTAGCTTATGAGCAAGCCTTACTTTAAATGTTATTTTAGTCTTTATTATTTTATAGGTTTGATTTGATTAGATTTATTTTGAATGTGTAAAACAATAATACAAACATTTAACATGAGAATTATTATACAATACAAAATTAACTCGTGTCAAATTGATATACAAAAATATTACTGATTCTAAATTATGTATAAACAAATAATCTACTTATTTATGCATCCGAAAAGGGGTGGGAAGAAGTTTACACTGTTGTCTTCGGGTCAAATCTAACCGATTGACTTCTTTCATCATAACTTTTTTGTTTTACATCCGATTGCATTAAGGCTTCATGATATCCTTCACAGTAGACATTTGAACATGTAAAATTACTGATCACCACCTTCATTGGATTCATTGGATGATTTAGTCAACTTTGTAACACCCATGGTGTTCCCGGTCAAAAATGACCGCCATAAAGAAAAGGAATTAGTAACCATCAGATCACACAACCCACACCCACACCCACACCCACACACACACACACACACACACACACACACACAAAGATGTGTCCCCCCCCCTTATGTCCCCCCCATCTTATGTGAATCACACCTGGCACTCACAAACTCACACACACAAACACAAACACACAGGACAATTTGACACATGTCCCGCTCTTATGTGCCCCTCCCCCCACATGGATCACACCTGGCACACGCAATACATGTTCAGTGTCTGTTCTTTGTATATATTTACTGCAGTGTTTCATGTATACCAGTAGTCTGATACAATATGTACAGTTTGAAAGGGTGTTAAATGACATTTGGTGAATATGAATGGTTTTTGTGTTAATGTAATAGCAGTTAAAACAGGACCGGTCAACACCAAAGTAAGGGGGGGAAAACGATGACAATAGAAGGGTTAATCCCACCCCTTCTCCCTTCTCGAACTTTTTCTTACCTGTCAGAGAGAAACCATTATTTATTGTATTTGATCATACCTTTTACCTCCTTGTGTCTATGAACCTGATAAAAGGTTGTATTTTGCTGCATGTACCTTTTAAAGTTCTTAACTAATAATCTGAGGGGAATTTCTTGTTGTGTATTTTGAATTTGTGATGTGTCATTTTGTAAAGCACTTTGAGCTGCATGTGCTGTATGAAAAGTGCTGTATAAATAAAGCTTTATTATTATTATTATAAGAGACAATAAGACCTTTATTGATGGCTGTATTTAACTTGTTTTACTTTGACCCCAGGGAAAGGACTTCTCAGCAGGTCAGAGATCAGTTACACATCAAGCCAGAGAACGCAGTGTCAGGGAACATGTGGGCCAAGTCAGAAGGTCAGAGGTCAAGGATTATAATATGAGTCAATTTAAGGACATGTTTATCCTACTTTTAGTTCAGACTGAAATATCTCGATAACGAATTGATTGATTGTCACGAAATTGTGTTGTAGCATTCATGGTCCCCAGAAGATGAATCTTTAGGACTTTAGTGGTCATGTGACTTTTTCTTCTTGCATAACCATGAGTAGGAGATATGTGGTGTCAAATATTTGGTCAACATTTTAGACATTCTTATCAGCTTCAGGTGAAGTTCTTGTTGCTAATAAGTATTATTACCATTGCACGTGTCAAACATCAGCATTGTTGTTGTAAGTGTGCTCATTTGAACATAAAAAAAGCACTTTTTGCATTTTTTATTATATGATATCTTATAAAATATCTACTTTTCATAATTCGTCTAAAAAAAAAGCATACTTTAGAGAAAAGTCGATGATTGAACTAACAATTGAATACATTTTGCTCTCCTTAAAATCTAAATATGATGGTGTTTCCTCACAGAAGTGCAGCAAAATGTTAAACTGGAGGATTTCTCTGGTTCTGCTCACTTTTTGGATGAAGAAATACTGGCAGGACAATCCTTTGAGGAATACATGGCGACCTTCGACTCCTTCAGCACCCAGGTCACTTTCTATAAGAAATCAAATCTGGTGGAGGGATTATAACACTAGCTTGCATTTAAATCCTAAACACTGTGTAAGGTTGGATAAGACACACGTCATCTCTTTCATGGAGTCGAATGTACAAACATATCTTTTCAAAAAGGTTTCCGATGTGTTCAATGCCCCGACATTTTCATTATTGAGCAAAACTGTTTTTTAACATACTGTAAAACTAAAAAGCACCATCATTTTTGATTCTGCTCTGCAGGAAGGAAACGAGGAAGAGGGGAATCGGGGAAATCTAGAGAACTCTTCATTTCTGGAGTATCTGGATGAACTGTGCAGCGATGAGAAACGTGTCGGTGAGGTTAGTCTCAATGGTATATCGTTATTTTTGTAGCAGTTTTTCCTTGATATTTGTTAAATCAGCATCCACATCTACTGTATTCTAAACAAGGACAAGGTTTATTGTTTTAATCTGTATCTTTGTTCACAGGCGGAGTTCAAACCGGATACAGATTTCCTGGATTCCTTTCTTTCTTCAGCCCCAGAGCTCGTTGACCTTCTTGCACTGGAAAAACAAGAGCAAGAGGTGATAAAACATGATACGTACTTTAAATGTGTTTTTTCCGTTTTCATCTTCAACAAGCTCAACATTCGTGCCAGAAGTGAGAGCTGCTGTTTGTAAGAAAAAAGCATTACCAAGTATTTCTTTACTGTGATATTGCTATTGGAGCTGACATTTTGCACAGTTTACATCTCGGGCTCCAGAGTTTGAAAGATGCTATCAAGTTGCATTATGGGAAATGTAGGATACAGGAGTATTGGGTGTGGTTAAGACACAACGTCAAGATATTTCCAACTCAGCTGCTCCAATTCATTCTTGAATCTGTTGCTGCACAAATGAGCAAAATCTGAATACTAACATGTTGTAGCACTTCTTTAATTTCATCTCTTTTCCTCAGGTGACACTGAAAACAGAGAATGTGGCTCCTGCTCCCAAATCAGATCCAGATCCGATTGACCTCCTTTCGACGAGTGAACTTGTGCAAGAGGTGGGATATTTAAAACGTTGAAGTTGCGAGAACAATGTTGCTTGGAGAACAAAATGTCAAACACCCTTGGATGGCCATTTTTTTTGTGGGAAATGCTTCGGGGAAAAGGTCAAACTTTCTTTCATAACAAGGTGTTTTTCTTTGTTCTCTTTCATTAGATACGCAAGGTGATCCTGGAGAAGCTGTGGTATCTCCGCCACGACCACTCTGTAACCAAAGACGAATATCCTATCACTTCACGTGTCGAGGAAACGTCACCACTGCAAAACTCTCAAGCGTTTTTTTTGGTTCTTCCATGCTCGCAGTCGGACATAGATCCCAACCACGGTGGAGAAACTTCAACTCAGAGGACGATAGAACAAAAGGGAGTTTTGCCTACCTTTTCCCCCCTCGTACCTTCACACTTTCTCGGCAACTCTTCATTTCTGGAGTATCTGGATGAACTGTGCTGTGATGAGAAATTTGTCCGAGAGGTTAGTCGTCAGTGGCATTGGTATATCATTATTTTAGTTGCAGTTTTTGATCGACGGTCATTGAATAGTGGCTTTCATGGCAATATGATATTTTTGTGTTAAGCAAAGATAAAAAAA